TGCAACCTGTTATTGTTTTTGAGATACTCTCCCGCTTCCTCAATCCCCATGCTGGAGGGTTGATTGGCATAGCATCCTGCAAGTGCATTGCTCCTGAAAAGAATAATTTACACCCTGATACAGCCTTGGTCGGATATGTGTTGGGGTTGTGTTTTGAAGTTGGGACAGGAGAAGGAGATCCTCAGCACTTCCTATTCATATCATTGAGTTCCCTCAGACCAGATCCTTGGAGGATCTTGACACAAACTCCAGGCAGGCCCTATATTCAAAGTGAGATTGGAGGCGAGCAATTCAATGCCTTATCTACATTACTTAGTTGCTGTGTTAGAGAAGCCCTGGAAATTCTGGGATAGCATTATGGAGCAAGTGAATTGCTATTATTTCCTATTTGCTGTGCCTCAGAATTGAATGTCTCTTCAATAGAAGAAGAAAGTCCATCCCAATATTTCTTGAACCTTTCTAGTCATTTAACTGCACGCATCATCGGAAATCTACGCTGATGAATAAGATTGTTTAGGTCACAATCCATCAGCAAATCTACATCTGTTATGAACATCTCTGCAGTGATGCAGGTTTTCTGCTTGTGGAAATCTCAGGCTAACCTGCTTGTTTTTTACAATATCGAACGTGCACACAGTATTCAATAATTCAAGAGTTTTCAGATGAGCTGAGCAAATGAATACTCAGGCATAAATGTTACTGTATTGATTTGATGTCTAGACAAGTATGTATCTTCTAACTCACTGCAGACATTATTCACTCCTGCATCGTCTGGGATATCTGAAAGTGTGTTTGCGTAGATTAATGTCTCAAGTATAATGCGTTTCATGTATCTGTTATGATTCGAACTTCAAGTGGTCTGTTAGGATGTTGCAGATAAATGAGGTGTTCTGATCATATGCAACCGACCTTAAAATTGTACAATACAAAAAGTATTTATGCTTTTGCATCCACCTATGCATATAAAGGAGTGAACAAATTGCTTCAATAATTTGCAATTCATACAGACAATGGAAACTTATTTTCTTTGTCAACAAAACAGAAACAGTCACTTATCCACTGACCTTTATGCCTCAGAGAGTTAGAATATCCTCTTCAGAGATTTTGCCTGATAACACCGAGTCAGCAGCAAAGGCATGCACCGAGCGACCGTGAAATACCAGGGAGGTCATGGAATCATAGAATCCCTTCAGTGTGGAAGCAGGTCGCTCGGGCCATCAAGTCCACGTCGAAATCTCATGCAGACCTACTCCCAACCCCACTCCTGCATTTCCCACCCTGGACACTACAGGCAATTTAGTATAGCCAATCCACCTAACCTGCACACCTTTGGACTGTGGGAGGAAACTGGAGCACCTGGAGAAATCCCATGCAAACACGGGGAGAATGTGCAAACTCCATGCAGACATTCACCCGAGGCTGGAATTGAACCTGGGTCCCTGGCGCTGTGAGGTAGTGGTGCTAACCACTGAGCCGCCGTGCCACCCCAACATTTATATTTAAACAAATTTATTTAGGTACTTATAAGTATGATTTGAGTCATTACTATGCTTTGTACAAAGATAAATTATGTAAAAGCAATAATATACGAATTATCCTAATGCAGATTTGGAAGCACAAGACACAGTCGTCACCAAGTCTGCCACAATTCTGCGAGGACTTTCCCATTTCAATATTAAGTAGATCCACAGAGTTACTCAGTTACAGTGCAAGACTAGTTGGCTCCAGCCAATTGTTCTATTTTAATCCAGGTTTGACTGAACTGCAATCCTACAACAGAGCTCTTCCTTTCTATGTGCTCTGTACCAGGCTGGTTGAAGACGTAAGAACTGGTGATTGTACTGATAAGGTAGACAATGAAAAGTCTCCTTTACAACATAATGAAACTGATAATGAATTGGCAAAAAGGCTTGATCACTAAAGGAAGTAATTGATAAGATAACAAAGACGAGCAGAAGATAACTCTATGGCCACATGAGCATGCTTACTATTAATACGATCATGGTTAAGCTTCTGCCTCAACTTAACTTTCTTGCCTGCACTCAGTTTACATTCCCATCTATTTTTGTTTCATCAGCAAACTTATGCATATTATTGTCAGTCACTTATCACATCAAAGCCAAAATATATTTTTTTACTTTGTCCAACTTTTCCTTTCTGCTCATGACCACAGCACTTTCCAATTCGTCCTCCATTTGAAGTACCAATCTAGTAAATCTCTTCTGAATTACCTACAAGACATGGACATCCTTCCTTAAATAAGGAAACCAAAACTGCACATAGTATTGAATATGTGGTCTCACACATGTCCTGAAGCATAATATCCTTACTTCAATGTTCAGTTCCTCTTCAAATACAGGATAGCATCCCATTTGTCCTAATTACCACTGTGCCTATGTACTAACTTTCCTGTACTAGGATACTGAGTTCCCTCTGCAGGTTGGAATTGTGCAGTTGTTCACCTTTTATATATTCTTCTTGTGAAGTGCACAAATTGATATTTTCCCAAATTTACTCCATCTTCTAAACTTTTGTCTACCTACTCAACCTACTCACAATGGTTTGTCACCTCCTTATGTCCTCTTCAAAAACAGGACCATACTCCTGTCATCCTAACAGTCACAAAAGACTTATTTATGCATGCTTTGTTATCTGCCAGTTGGCCAATCTTCTATCTGTACCAATGTGCTACCCCTACACGATGAGCTCCATTACAGCGCAATAACCTTTTAGGTGGTACCTTGCCAAATGCCTCCCATAAATAGTTTTATCTGTTGCCGTGGCAGGTTCTGAACCCATGTTGCTGCAGCAAAACCTAGGCCTCTGATTACTTGGCCAGTGACATTAACACTATGTCACCAACTCCCCAGAAGCAACTACCAAGTAACTTTGGATTTGTTAGCATTTTCACATAGCAGAGATCTAGCACATATCCAAAATTGCAAAATGACTGTTCGTTGATATCTGTGGCCCAGTCTGTCACATAGGATCCTGCTGCTGAAATCAAGCATTGACATGTCCTGAAACTTCCGATATACTGATGCAAATGCATACGGATCTATAATGAAGGCTTGATGCTAAGAATGCAGTTTTCTCTGCCTCCTACATTTGAGAGAATTTTGCTGCATCCTCCTGTCCCTGAGTGTTTACTCGCTGCCATCCACACCCACCAGAGTTTTCTGTGTCCTCATAACTTGAGTTTGTAGCTGTCCTTACCGTTGACAGATCGCTATCATTGCGACTACTCCTGCTTGTGAGAACTGCATTTGGCCTTGAGTTTATGCATACAATACAGTGGATCAAGTAACAAGTATTTAATAAATAATGTGACTTGCCTACTTCCTCCCACACCAGGCAAGTTACTGGGGTTCTATTCTAACTTTGCCCTGAGCATTACTTTGACCACAACCAGAATCCCCAGCACAAAAAGTAAGAAGTAAGTTCTATCAGCAAATCATAGTAATGATGTTTTTGAGCAATTTTAATAGCTAGCAATGAGCAATTTGAATGCACCCTCAAATTACCAACATACACACTGGGTACATACATTTTCTGCTCCAATTCACCAGCTGGCTACCAAACCCCCTTGTCAAATCTCCCCTGGCTGCAGTTTCCCTTTAGGGGTTACCCCTACCTCACTTCAATTCCTTTATCTAATCGTCCCTCATGACTGAATTGCACATCTAAAGATAGACACTTGCTCCACCGACTGGCTATCTCATGCCTCAATTAGTGCAGCCCTAGTAATTTAATTCCACCCAAAGCACTTCACAGTGCTTTTGTGCATCTTTACATGTCCAAAGTACATTGAAATTTCCAGATTATACAATGCAGTATAGACAAAGGATATCATTTTAGTTTGCTGAAAATTTTGCTGAATTTGCCCCAAAGATGTCTTAAAGATATATTAAAACAAATGCATTAACCACATCTATCTTGCTGTACATCTAATAGATGGATAGAGATATGTTTTAAAGAACATCTGACAAGCAGGTTTGTATTGGAAGTTAAGAGTGCTTTTTCTCTGTGACAGTTTGGATCTTTGTAGATGCACATCAGCAACACTTCAGTGATATGCTAACCTTGTTGCAGGCTGTTTTAGCTTCTGTAATTAAAAATGTCCCTTTAATTTTTGAGAATTTTCTTCCTCAGATACAAGTTTGTCAGCTGACTCCTTAGTCTCAAAAAATGAAGTTCTTCTTTGCAGCAACATTGCTGTGAGGATGCATCTGCCCTGGGAGGAAGAAATGAAGTCATTCCCTATCTACTGTTACATGTCTCCTGGCACCCAGCTATAAGCAATAATGTGGGAAAGCTGCCTATTTCATCACAGGAGGTGTGTGTCTGCCAAAACGTGCACTGTGAAAAATGACAGGAAAATTTAGTATTTTCACAGCCCTAATCCGAATGTATGTATTTCAGTCAAAAATCATTGTGGCTGACTCTATTACTATTTATATCTTCAAGTTTAGAAGTTACAAGAAAATTTGCAGGCTCCGCTATTACGTAGATGTTCTTTACTGCACAACGAATGGTCTCTTCGATCTTTTGATGAACCACTACTTAACCATACAACAGGTTAGACCTCTACGTGGTGATACTGGATCAAATTTGCCAGGCAATTTTTTCTCTTGCAAGTTATTTCAGATTTTTTAAAATGCATTATGAAAGACTGTCAACTCTGATACTTAATGTCAATGGAAAAGAAAATTGTATTAAAAGCATTTTATACATTTGCATGAACATACAAAATGAAAATAGATAAAATCCCAGGACTTTTAAAAGCCCAAAACATGAAACAGAGAAATAGGTAAACTTACATTTATTGACGTTTCATTGCACACCCACTTAATGATTTGAAACTTACAGTTTCACCAGCCATGATTAAAGTGAACACATAACATTGATTTACAAGCTTTTAATAATTCAGAGTGCATAAAAGCTAGAAGGCAATATCTAATTATCTCTCTACCAACACAAAAAGTAAAAAGTGGCCTTACATTTAGGAACCCCACCTGTCCTGACTGCTGGCTGGTGTCAGGGCAGACCAGTTGGACAAACTCCTTCAGGGTTTCCTGACTAGGGTGTGGATGATAGCGGATGGCCGTGTGCGAGAAATAAGGACCCGGCTGCTGGATGATGGGAGACGTTGGAAAATGTAGAGTTGAGGCTGTCGCATGGGGGCTTGCTGTAAGGAAAGAGCAAAGATACCATAAACTAAATTTCAAAATTCATTCACTGCGTTAGTTCATGATAGAACATTGTTAGCAAGGTACAAGCAATATAATCAGAAATGCCACTTCAATTACCGAAACTCAGCACCTAGTACAGAATACAGAGAAATACAACATTTTCTGTTACTTTACACTGAACTGCTCTTTACTTATTGGCAGAAAAATTTACAAAAGATATAAAGTTCCTTTCCAGAATTTTCTGTTATGTCATGCAGCTCATTAAAACACACAGATGAATAATGTTTGATAATATATAGGTCATTTAAAACTAAAATTGAATTTTCAACATTGCCTAACACCTACAATCTTGGACAGTTTGTAGGAAAACAAATACTTCGATCAGATTTACTTCCAATTTTACTTTCTGTTCAGAACAAGTCTTCTGAAAAGAATTATCTTTTTTGAAATAATTCCTTAATCCTTAGTCATTTGTGTCTGATCAATTATCCCTTTTTTTTTTCATCTCATTGTTCACAGAATTATTACAGAGTAGGAGGCGGCTATTTAGCCCATTATGTCGGCCATGGCTCTTTGAGCATTTTAACTTAGTGCCAATCTCCTTTTCCTGTAACTATTTACATTGTTTCTATTTGACTAATCATATCACGCCTTCTTGAATACTTCAATTGAAACTCCCTATTGTACAAGTGGAAGTGAAAAATTCTCTACAAATAAACAGTCAAATCCTTTAGAGAAGCTTGGAGCTTTAAGTTCCACTTCAGAAGTATCTTCAATTATTGATATTGAACATTATTCCATTTGAAAAACAGAAGACTATCAATCTAATCTTGCCTCATTTCAACAGTGATCAAGTAAAGGATATCTGTCTTAATGAAGCCAGAGAGGCCAAACAATTTTGGCTGGAGGTAGCAGAGGTGGTGAGTCAACACAGTGTGGTGAGAATGCTGTGGTTTCAATATTACAAACACTTCAATTACTTTGTATGGACTCGCAAGGTACGTGCAGCTCTGCACCCTGGTGACAGGATTTAAGGTCTGCTTTTTTGGTTCTGTACACCAGCATGAAAACTATTTTGATAAACCAGCAGTTTTTTTCAAACAAGAAGTACATAGTGCACTATCTAAAAAAAACCAAAGAACTGTCGATGCTAGAAATCAGAAGCAAAAACAGAAATTGCTGGAAAAACTCAGCAGATCTGGCAGAATTTGTGGAGAGAAAGTAAAGTTAAAATTTCTGGTCCAGTGATTCTTCTTCAGAACAATAGTTCTTCAGTTCTGAAGAAGGGTCTCTTGACTGAAGTGTTAACTCTGTCTTCTCTCCAATAAAGATAATTTCTGGGTTTAGTGTGCTTCCAGTAGTGTGTCAAGCTTCAAAAGATATGGTAAGATGGAATGTGAGACCTTTCCGCCTTCAGGTCACGTGCTGTGATGTGGTGATGATATCATGAGTACGTCCCTTCACGTTATACTGACGTACTGACGGTGAGATATAACACAACAGCCCCCTTTCCCCAAAGATAAAAATGTATTCCAAACAAACATACATGGTAGCAAAAAGGCCAGTGATGCTAATTCAATAATAATGCAAATAGGTATAACAGAGTTAACAAGACTAACATTTCAAACTTGAATGTAACGCTTTGGAAGTTTGACAATTTGTCCTTATCTGGTCATCTCATACTGGTGTGCACAGATGTGCGTTTTAACTGTTGTATTTATTTAACAACTTATTTGTGTTGCTGCTCATTGTTGTCACTCAACATCACCAGTCAATCGTCTTCATTGTATCAGAGATAGTAGGAACTGCAGATGCTGGAGAATCTGAGATAACAAGATGTAGAGCTGGATGAACACAGCAGGCCAAGCAGCATCAGAGGAGCAGGAAGGCTGACGTTTCGGGCCAAGCTCTACACCTTGTTATCTCAATCGGCTTCATTGTCATGTTTTTCCTCAATCTGTTTCCGATTGATTTGCTGTACATTGGTTTAAGTTGGCTTCAGTTCCTTCACAATGTAGCACCATGATCAGCAATGATTTTGTATGATCTGGGCTGGTTAAATATTCGAGTAACCTTTTCTAGCATCTGAGTATTTGTATTTCAATCTCACACTCTCTACCTAGATCACAGTTTTGGTCATTCTCTACATATTTGCTCAGTGTGTTTCTCTTTTATTCTCTGCTGACATTCATGAAAAATGCCTGTGCCTCAGAATGGTTGGACATTTGATTGCTAAGCACAGTCATTGACAATTTCCTTCTGACCACAAGTTTGTGATTAGGATGGCATTGTTCTCTCCATTGGTGTTGCACCAAAATGCAGCGATACAATATGAAAATCTTGTTGTGTTGCTCAATACTTAATGATTTGAAATGACACATTCTGGTAGAAGGGGGATAGTGGGGAGATGATGTGAAACGAGTCACTCCTGATTTAGTACACATTTTGGATTGGTTTGGGGAAGTACTGTAGTCCATTGTCAGACACTACGTTTCTGGGATGGTGAACAAACTGAAAATTGTGCTGACCATGACAGCGTCAGTCATGCTTGTTGTGTTGCTAAGTTATCGAGTAATGGGAAATTCAGAGAAATAATGCATCATTAGGATGTAATTAGTCTCGTGCACTGTGAATAGGGCTGCTGCTACTCCAAGGAGTCGATGGAACATAGTGTGCATGTAGACGGCCCTCTACGACTGGCATCAATATGTTTGGCATATCCTGCATGAATTCACAAGTCAATTGAATATTTTAATTCATGGCTGGCCAACAGCCATCCATTATGTTCAATACCCATATATCCCTGTATAACATGAACACGAGCATCTAAGGTAATACTTTAGGCATTAGGAATTGTTTGCTATTAAAAATTATTTGTTGTGACATACCACGTTGGTCTCTGTACAGCCAGAATGAACAAATCTGCTCAGATACTTCTTCAATATTGTCAGGCTATCCATAGATAATGATCTTTTGCAACTCTTGTAATTCCTCATCTTCGACAGTTGCTGACTGCAAATGCTCAGACTGGCTCTAACCAAAATATAATAGATCAACCGTGAAAATGTCTTCAACTCTGCAGTCTAGAGCATCAACATTCAGGAGGATCATGTTGGTCATTGTGGGGTTTGGGTAATCTACTCAACATTTCAGATGTGATCATCCTGGCATCTGGCTTATAGAATCATAGAATCCCAACAGTGTGGAAAACAGGCCATTCAGCGCATCAAATACATGCTGACCCTCTGAAAAGCATCCCACTAAGACCCACCCACCCCCCTACCCTATCCCCATAACTGTTTATTCTTCCAGTGTTGACATTTTGTATGGACACCATCCAAGTGAAAGGTTGAAGTGCCTTAGATCTAGGCATTCTCTTACAGTGCCACCTTCTTTAAAATATATGCGACGGAGCTACAAAACCCTGTGCAGTGGTTTACTTCCAAAATTATACCATTTTGCTCCATCTTGTTCAGTCCCATGGTTAATCCAGCTAGCCAGCACATCCCTGAACACTTGCGCAATTTAGCATGGCCAATCCACTTAACCTACATATCTTTGGGCTGTGGGAGGAAACTGGAGTATCCAGAGAAAACTCACGCAGACATGGGAAGAATGTGCAAACTCCACACAGACAGTCACTAGAGGCTGAAATGAAACCCTGGTCTCTGATGCTGTATGGCAGCATTGCTAACCACTGAGCCATTGTGTCACTCATCTTAAAAAAGATACACGCCCAGGCCTTTGAGCGATGCATCCATTTCAAAAATCGCAGCTTTCCTTAAGTTCCAACATTACTATAGACAAGATTTTGCGATAGAACCTGTTTGAAAAAATTAAAAATGTATTGGTGGTCATCTTTCCGCACATAGGGGACGCCCTTCTAAAGCAAATCTCTCAGTGGAAACACCTGGGCCACAAAGTTGGGAATAGATGCCGAGAGGAAATTAAAAATCTGAAGCAACATTGCGGGTTCTTTTTATCCTGTGGGGTCACCATTTGTTTTAATATCCTCGATCTTGGATTGGTACTGATCTCATGGACAGAGTAAATTAACTCAAAGACAGTTATCTGACTGAGAATAACGTACCATTCATACTGTTTACTACCAGTCCTTCTTGCTGCATTGCCATCATCAATGGATGAAGGTAATGGTTATTCTCTGCCTGTGTCTTACACATTACTATCATATCCCTAGATTGCAAATACAACCAGGTGCATTCTCAATAATTTTATCCATGTGCTGCTGAAATACGCATTCACTAACTGAGAGCCCACAGAGTTATGGTTAGAAATTGTACCTAAGTATGGTGTCCAAGATGTCGTAAGTTTTTTGAATTCTTCTGCTCAGTTGCCAGGCCGGTATCCATGCTTTACATCTAGCTTTGTGAAGAATCTTGCTCTGGAAAATTTACTGTTTATTCTTCCAGTGTTGACATTTTGTATGGACACCTTCCAAGTGAAAGGTTGAAGTGCCTTAGATCTAGGCATTCTCTTACAGTGCCACCTTCTTCAAAATATATGCGACAGAGCTACAAAACCCTGTGCAGTGGTTTACTTCCAAAATTATACCATTTTGCTCCATCTTGTTCAGTTCCATTCCAAACTTCTCCTGAATGTACACATTGCACTTGCTTGGAGAATCAATAAATGGGGTCGTATTATCCTTAAAATTTCTGATCATGTCAAATAAGTCTGGGCGCAGGCATCTGAGATGGTGGATGATTCAACTGTGTCACATTTCCTGTAGTTTGTAGTTACGCAAAGGAGTTATCGCTAATTCTGCTAATTAGAAGAACTGAGAGGGTCATATCATAGTGCAAAGAAGCCCATCAAAACTTTTTTCCCTTCCCCTGTAGATTCCACTGGATGCTATTTTTGGACGGTAGTCTGGTAGCTCTGCACCGAGAGGGTGCTTTTCCACTGGGAGTCAAACTGTGCCAGAATCATCATATTCATGGATACGGGACAAGTGCGGGACATTGGGATTAGCACA